CCGGTTGGGTTACGGCGGTTGAGCCAGGAGGAGGAACGGAGGGAGTCGGGACTGGAATTCCCTCCCCCTCCCCCCCCCTCGACGGATTCGGGCCGGATCTCCATGCTGCGATCCCGGGATTGTCAGGGCTTTTCGAAGTGAACCGGCGATCCGTGCCATTGCACGGGGAGAGGAGAGCGATGGGGCTGGGCCGAAACCAGTTTGCTTGGTCTGCGCAGGTCCTGACCCTTGGAGCTTGTGCTGGGCAGGGAGGAGGAAGTTCTGCCCGGCCCTGCTCAGCTCTCTTAGTTACTGAATAGATCCCCTAAATTGAACAGTTTACTTAATTGCATGCTTTTCAAATTGTTTCCAGTGGTGTCTCCTGAACTTGCGTATCTTCCGTTAATTGCAGCATTTTATTGGTGCCCTGAAACCAGCTGCATGAAGAGCTGCTGTATGGACAGCTTTTAATTCCGGGTTAAATGGCTTCGGCTGGGGTTTCAATTAAGCAATTAAGAGCTGAGCTGGATTGAACACCAGCAGATAACCGGGATCGCTGGGTGGGGTGTGGGGGAGCCTTGCTCTGGGTGTCTCCGTCTGTGTCGAGGTGAGGTTTTTGGGGAGCCTGGTGTCGTGACTCTGCAGCGGGGGGCTCTCTTGCACCGTTGGTCACTGAAGTGGAACCGTGTGCACACCAGTACAGCACGTGGGTTTAACAACCGGTGCTGGAAACCTGTGTGTTGACGTTTGCCTTTACAGTGATCTCTACAGCAGGAATCGTGTGGATCTACAGGCAAGAGTGAAAACCCCAGTCTTTCCTCCAGGATCGCTCGGTACCTCTGTGGGCTGATTGTCAAGCTTGTTTAATTGAATTCGTTGGGCCGCTGCTCTGGAAGGGAGATTCTTGGCAGTGGCCTCGGGACGGGTTGTCTGTTTCCTAGCCCCCTGCCCTCTCGAAATCCCGGCTCCGGAACGCCGACGTCCTTCCGTATGGTTGGAGGAAGACCAGGGAGGGGGGGGGAGAGGGGAGCTGGGCGGCGCTCAGCGCTGGGCCCCGGGCGGTGGTTTCGAACCCCCGCGCACGGTGTGGGGGTGGGCCGAGGCCTGGCTGCTGTCCGAGCCAGACCCTCGCTCTCTGCCGGCCTGCTGGGACTGAATGGGTCCGACCGGATGGGGAAATGAGCATGAAACTGGATCCGAAATGTTTTGCTAAAAGAATGTAGGGGAGGGGGGGAGAAAATGTTTTAAAAAATGTGTAGCGGATCTATATTTTCATTGTAAAAGGTATACATTTGTAAAAAAAAAAAAAACTATTTTGTTGTAAATAATCTGATGTCGAAGCTGCGGTCTGATGCTGACTTGGAAATATTGTAACCCCCCTGACCTTTAACCCTTGCCACACCCTCTGACCCCTTAGAATGCTAAGTGCTCTCAACTTTGGTTTACAATGAACTTTAACCCGTGACCCTCTAGGTGACCTTTGACCTTTCAACCTTGGACCTTTCTCTGGATTCCCTGGATAATGGATCAGGACCCAGAGTGTACTGCTTATTTTGCTTTCTTAACTAATTCATTGGGAGGGTTAATTCATTTTAAAATTGATGCCTATACACAGGAGGGCAGCCAAGCACGAAGTCATGGACATGTGAACAATGATTGTGGTGTGCTTGGGGCTGCGCTGTACCACTTTGCATAGCAGTTGGACTGTAGCTCTGTTAATAAGGCGTTGTATCAAAATGGATAAATCAGTTTTTGACCTTGTCAAGTCTCATCCACGTGCTGTATCGCATTTGCAGATTCTGTAAACTTTTCATGTGACTCCTAATTTTATTTTTTTGTGCTGAAAATGGAAGTGATTCTGTATTTTTAAGTAAGAAAAGGGTTGACTTTCCCTGCCCCAGCTGTGGGGTGGGGGCCATGTCTGTGATTTGTCTTTCAGATTCAAACTGATTAAAAAAAAACGCACAAAACCTGTTTTCTCTGAGTACCTGCAGCTTCTTGGCAGCAGTGTTTGAAGTATAAACAATGGCTAGGTATCTTCTCAGTGCTGGGTGTCGTCTGTAATGGAGGTGTCTGGAGAATGACATCATTTATAGGAAGGAGTTGGAGTCGGGCGGGAACTTATTGGTAACAGTTACTGTTTGTGTGTGGTTCTGTCTGCCCCTGAAGGTGTGTGGGTGTGTTTGTGTGGTTCAGTCCGCTCCTAAGGTTTGTGGGTGTGTGTGGTTCTGTCCGTGCCAGAAGGTGTGTTTGTGTGGTTCCGTCCGCTCCTGAAGGTGTGCGTTTGTGTGGTTCAGTCTGGTCCTGAAGGTGTGTGGGTGCGTTTGTGTGGTTCAGTCCGCTCCTGAAGGTGTGTGGGTGCGTTTGTGTGGTTCAGTCCGCTCCTGAAGGTGTGTGGGCGTGTGGTTCTGTCTGCAATTAATGTTATAGTGCCAGTTATGGTACATCATCTCAAAGTAGTGTATAATGAATAAAAGGAGAGATGTGTCTACACAAATTAAAACTAGATACATTTAAATCTGCAGCATTAGGGTGAATTTTTAGGACCAGTTGAAAAATTGTGGTAAATAATACTGATCTTGTTAGATTTTCTCTCGCCCCTTCAGGGTTCGGAGTCCCTGTGTGAGAACGTGCAGCAGGCTGTGAGCTGTCAATCCAGCCTCTTTGGGAGTGAGTAGCTCATTGATGCAAGGATCTCATCTAGCTGTTTCTTGAAAGGGCTTTGACAACGTGGCTGGCCGGCTTGTTCCCAGCTCCTACAACCCTTTGTGGGAAAGAAGTGCCTCCCGATCTCAGTTTTAAATGCACTTCCTTGCAGTTTCAACTTGATGGCTTCTGGCTTGTGCTTCGCCGTCGATTGTGTAGAAGCCTGATTGAGAAGACCTCGATCACAAACGCTAACGCCAGTGCCCGTGGGTGCGTGTTTGAGTCTGCTCCATTCTGTGCTTGGTGTTTTGACACGGCTGTGTCTCGGGGCATCCGCATGTGTGAAGGCTGTGCTTGTCAGGTCTCATTCGCAGCATTTGGACAATTCGGACATCTTTATTCCCAAACGTCACCCACGTCTGGGGGGTGGAAGGTGTCATTAGGTCATTTCTAATTAGCAAAAAATTTGCTGCCGCGTGCATCTACTTCGTTGGAAAAGGAGAAAACAGAGCAGGTAGAGCTGCATCTTCGGGAGGCGTCTACAGTGAAACAAGGGCCCACCCTCCTCGCCCCACAATCCTCCTCTTCTCTCGCTCGTGGACCGTCACACAGGAATGCCAGGAATCAAGATAGCAGCCCGCGCGGGAGATGGGGATCAGCAGCTCGCAGAGCCGAACAGGTCGGACAGGTGGAGCGAGCTGGGCGTGAGCGGCCAGGTGTGGCGAGCAGGGGAGAGACGCACAGAGATTCTCTCCCGTCCTGCTGCGAGATAGAGCGACCGAGGCTCTGAGAGCACACAGCCGAACTGCCGCGAGACAGGGACGGGAACTTCAGCCGGCCGCTCGCTGCTACAGCTTCTGGCTGCTGCGTGTGCTGCTGAGCGCCGAGAGACGGAGCCGCGCTCGCCCTCCGGTCAGAGACCATGGCCGAAGCGGCGAAGATCGAGCTTTTCATCAAGGTAAGGGACCCTGCTGGGCTCCCTGAGCTGGGAGCCCGTTTCTCTCGTTCTCGGTTGGGGAAAAAAAGAAACTGCCACCTTTTAATCCTTCCAGCCCAGCCGCCGATCCCGGTAAGACCGGCTGTTTTGAGAGGATGTGGCCTCTGGATCTGGTACTGGGAATTGGATCGGGGTCTGGATGCAGGGAAGGGAGTCGGTCTGCCCATTGCTGCTGGGCACTGTGCTGGGAGAGGTGTGCCCGGGCAGGAGAGAGACTAAACGACAGGTCATCCACCCCATCTGCCCCATTTGGTAGTAGCTGATTGATCCAATATCCTCTTCCAGCTTTTTCCTGAAAAAAGCCAGGATTTGGGCTTCAACGGGGAGTAAGCCCTATATATCACATCTAAAACGAGTGTTTTAAAACGTTCTGTCTATAGTTTGTTTCTACTATAGCAAAACTATCCAGTTGTCAGCGTTAAATGTCATTTGCCCGGGCCAGAATGCAAGTCCTTATGAATTTCTCAGCTTCTAGGGTGTTTGCTGATCCTCCTAATGTGGAGTAATCTGATCTCGTTTGCCAGATTCTGGTATGACTGATCAAAATAAGGAAGACCAATAGCCCTATTACAGATCCACTGATAACACCGTTCCAGAAGAGCATTCGCTCTTTATTGGTACTGTTTTCGAGCCATGAATCCATTCTGCTTCCAAAGACGCGCATTATCTTCAATGTACTACTTTTGGAAGTCTAAAAAATGAACTTACAAGGAGCCTATTGGAAAACCTAATTCGCAACGATCGCGTTGTGGCTGCCGCTGGTTCGCGGGTTGGTTGATCGTGGCCTGGCGGCCCTGTGTGATGGTGGTTTTCCGTGCGAATTGTCCCCCTCGAAGCCTGTTGTCACGAAGATGATTGTTAGTTCGGGTTATTGTCTCCCTACCTTTGCATGTAACAGAGTACTGGTGTATAATTACTTGATTGGGTCCGTCTACAGACGGGGCACTACATACAGGTCGCCAGGAGGGCATTGTTGATGAATAACGTCTCTCATTTCTGAACAATTCAAAGGTCTAATAGTATTCACTGCGGAGCTTTGTTCGTCTCTGCCCGAGGCCCCATTGATGCACTTCCTCGATTGGGCACCCGAGTTAAAAAATTCGTTTCCTACATCAGCCGTTTCCCCCTCTGCGGTCCACGGTGTCTACGATTATCTGCGAGACGTCTCGCTGCGTGCCCGTGTGGCGGCGTGACCTGTTCTTCCCACCAGGAAGTCGCACGCAGATGAACATCTTGTTTTCAAAAGAGCCCAGGCTCTCCGAAACCGTCGGTGGCAACGCCTGTTCCTCTGAAATGCTTCCCAGGATCACCTGCGGCCCTGTTGCAGCTCGTCTGCGGCAGGGTTTTCGGTGCGACGGATTAAGGCTGGAGACAAACGGGCGACATGACTGCTGCTGTTAAGAATTAGAATCTGCTGGAGATCGAGAAGGTTGGCGAGCCCGCGAGTTTTGAGATTCCTGGTGTACAAATACAGGATGGCACTGGTTTAAAAAAAAAGTCTCCATAGTGTTTTATAAAGAGCTGGTTTTTCAGTAAGTCACTATTTCGTTAAAAGCGTGGGACGCGCTCGAGATCCTCAAAGGCACTGACACAGTAACCAAGCAGATTTCTGCAGAACCTGCAGGGAAATGGGTGTGTGTGAGGACCCAAGTGGAAGGTCATTTGACACTGAGAACAGGAGGCTGGTCTTTACACAAAGAGTGGTGGGGGTCTGGAACAAGCCGCCCAGCCGTGTTGTGGAAGTTGATACAGCTGGGTGAGATCAATTAGCTCAATTAATTCCTAAGTAGCAAGCATGCCAGGTGGGCAGATAGGAGTTAATTGATCCCTCCTTTAATTTGTGACATGTTTAAATTCTTTCTTAAACTGAGGAAAGAGGTGTCTAAGCTTTCCTCACAGGCAGAGGGACAGCTCTCACCAGCCCTGTGAGCACAGCAGAGGAGCCAGGATCACAGGCTAAAGAAGGATGAGAAAGATATAACCCAAACAACCCTACTGCACCCACCGAGACACAAACCCGGCACAAACCGCAAGGCTATTGGGCCCTAAAGGACAGGCTCGGTATAGAAACTGGACACAGGCAGGCCTGGCTGCCCAGAGAAGACAGGCTGTGCTCCCACTGGGGAGAAATAGAGACAGAGGTGCACTACTGTCTTCATCCTGTGAATGTCTACTGACTTGTTATTGCTTTGGCAGCACCAAAATTCATCAGTCATGTGAATAAAGATCCTTGAATCCGAGAGACGGAAGGAAACGCATGCGAACCCCTCCTCGCTGCATCTCTCTCCCTCCTCTCCGCAGGCTAGTGACGACGGGGGGAGTGTGGGAAACTGTCCGTTCTGCCAGCGGCTCTTCATGATCCTCTGGCTGAAAGGAATCAACTTCACACTGACCACGGTGGACATGAAGAGGTGAGAGAGGGCTGGGACAGCTGCTGCTGCTGCTGCTCTTAAAACATCTGTATGGCTGCGGGGGCAGATACTGCTGATATTGGGATGTCTGTACAGCTGTTGGGGTATCTGGAAGAGCTCCAGGCGCGACTGTCTAGTTTCTGCAGCAAATACACAACTGCTGTGGACACCCTATTGCTGCTGGGGCACCTTCTCTGATGCCAGGGCGTTTGTTTTGTTGGTGTGCTGGGTTAATAACTCTCATCAGAATAAGTTCTGCCTCCCCCCCCCACCTTCAGAGCCCCAGAGGTGCTGAAAGACCTGGCTCCCGGCTCCCAGCCCCCCTTCCTGCTGTATAACGACGAGGTCCGTACCGACACCAACAAGATCGAGGAGTTCCTGGAGGAGACGCTTGCCCCACCTCTGTGAGTTTCCACACACTGGATCACCAGAACCACACACACACACACACACTGGATCAGCAGAACCTCACATCCCTCCTCTCTCCCTCACTCACTCATGTGTGTTTTTGAGTCCCCTGAAACCCTCTAATTTAGAGCCTCTCGTGTCCCTTTCCCAGCTACCCCAAGCTGTGCTGCCGCTACAAGGAGTCCAACATGGCTGGAGACGACATCTTCCACAAGTTCTCGGCCTACGTTAAAAACCCCAACCCTGGACTGAACGACCGTGAGTTCGGCAGATGGGCTGGGGGAGATGGAGAGACTGAAGGGCACCAAGCAGATATAGTCCCATCATTTCAAGAGATTTAGGGCATTTAGATTTTGTAAGGGGGGGGTCTTTTTCACTGTATATCATCTTCCCCAGCCAGTGGACAAAACTCAGTCTTGGTGCAGCAGAGTTTTCCCTGTAGACCACAGCCGCTCCTCCAGTGCCTGCTGTTGCCCTTGTGTCAATGAGGTTGTGTTAAGTTGTATAGTGCTGTCAGGGACTGCTGTTGCTGAGTTGTGTAAAGCTGAGTCAGTGCTGTTGTGTTGAGGAGTTGTCCAGCGCTGTTGCGTCAGTGGCTGCTGTTGTCGCAGCAGTAGCGTTATTGAATTGTGTCATTTTGTGTCGGCGACTCCTGTTGTTGAGTTGTATAACGTTGTCGGTGCTGTTGCCACACGTAGTGCTGGAGAGGAAGTTCCTGAAGAGCCTGATGAAGTTGGATCAGTACCTGCTGACACCCCTCCCCCATGAGCTGGACCAGAACCCAGACATCCAGACCTCCACAAGGTGCTTCCTCGATGGCAACGAGCTCACCCTGGCCGACTGCAACCTGCTGCCCAAGCTCAACATTGTCAAGGTGCGGCCTCCCCTTT